TGCATTGTAAATTTTGGTCAATGACATGAGACAAAGTATATGTGACCTGCTGTATGAAAAGTAAATGTACTCTGTAAATCTTCACCAAAATCAAAATTAAAAAAAAAATCTAAAAAAAAATATTCTATGTATCGTAAGATACAAATCAACAGTTCTTAATCTGGCAATTTTACCTCCCACCTCTAAGAACATTGGGCATTATGTGGAGACATTTCTGGTTGTCATTAACTGGGGAGTACCTCCGGCATCTAGTAAGTAGAGGCCAGGGATGCTGCTAACCATCCAATGATGCTTAGGATAGCTCTCCCACAACAAAGAATTTCTGAACCAAAATGTCAAAGTACCAAAAACCTGACAGAAATACAAACTAGTTTTTATATATACAACTTAAGTATTAAATACAGTACCTTAACTTTCCTGCTAAAGTATAGGTAATTCAGAGCTTACTATGTAATGAAAATAGCACCAACTTTCCAAATAATTGGCACTCAGCTAGTATCCAGAGCTACGGGTCACATAATCCCAAGAAACATTCATGTAATAGCAGAGGCACACCAGGGGAGGCACTACCAAAGGAAACCAAACCACCAACAATTTGAAAGCTTAAAAACCACTTTAAGTAAAACTCAACAACTGAATGTTAGCTCATGACTTTTATTAACCCATACACAATTACTTGTCTTCTGGTTTGTTGAAGCAATAGGTCAGACAACACTTGCCACAGTAATGTCTATCAAAGTGGCTGGCCATAAAAACTCCAGCACCACATTCATCTGAAGGGCACTCCCGACGAAGGCGACTAATTTTGCCATTCTCGTCCACCTAAAAAATACAAACTTGCTGTAAGGCAATTTTATAACATATTCCAAAGTTTTTAGTTGAAGCGACTAAAAATACTTAACTCTAAAAGCACCCAAAATCTGAACAAAAAAGTTGGGAGGTCCAGGGATCTTTGCACATCTAAGTCCTGCTTTGCAAGTGGCAGAGCTAAGACCTGAACTGATTTCAAACTCAGTATCTGGGTTGGAACATGTAGTCAAGGTGAACCTCCTTATGAAAGCTCTTTCAAATACCAAACAGAAATTTTATATTGAATAGAGCTTAAAATCAACCAGATATTTGCACTAAGCAAACAGAACTTACTTAAAAAGAAATTCCCATTTCAGAAAAACCTCACAAGCAAAAAGTAGATTAATATTGCATACCCAAGTCCAATTACTCCATAAAAAAAAAGTTACTATAAAGATTAAGTTTACAAATAAGCTAGGCATTTGCTGATAACCTAAATACTCTGAAATGGCTCACCTTATAGTATTTTAGTACAGCCAGCTTAACCTTTTTTCGCTTATGCTTATTCTTCTTGGGAGTAGTGTAAGACTTCTTCTTCCTTTTCTTAGCACCCCCACGAAGTCTCAGCACAAGATGAAGAGTGGACTCCTATTAATGGAACAGAGGATGAAATAGGTTTTTAAGAAGATTAATGTTCATGCTACATTAAGAACAAACAGACATCATTTCATCATCTACTTGGAGTACAATAGAAAATACACAATACCACCTACAAAGAGGCAAAAAAAAAAAGAGGGAGGTTTTGTTTCTTAACCACTTTAATTATAGGAAAATTAAAGAACAAATTAACAGCCTGGAGTACAATCATCAAAATCCATAATGTGAAAAACTTCAACAGTGCTTCTCAAATGTCAGTTTAGGGGTCACCTGGAAATCTTGTTAAAATGAAGCTGATTCAGTAGGACACAGGCCAAAACCCAATTTTTTAACAAGTTCCTGACTGATAAGGAGATGCAGCTGGTCTACAGACCAGGTTCTATAGCCTAAATAGGGAAAAAGCAGTTAAAGATGAAAAAACCTTTTGGATTATCAATTTAGGAGAAATAGCACTGAGGTTTTTGAAATGAACGTCTTATTATTCTCCCCATTTTTGTGTCCATCAAGATTCCCTCAACAAATGTTTCATGTTTATTTTTAAAGGACTGCTCCTTTCCCCTACACACCTTTTGAATGTTGTAGTCAGACAAGGTACGTCCATCTTCCAGTTGCTTGCCAGCAAAGATCAGTCTCTGCTGATCAGGAGGAATTCCTAATGGAGGACAGGAGTATCAAAACTGTAGAACAAGCAACTCTACTAAAGATTTACCAAGTAATAATCCCAAGTCTAATAACTCTTAGAAGTAGTACCTAACACCAAACTATACTACAAACTAGACGTGCACAATCTTAAATATTTACACATTTTACCTCATTTAATCTTAATGACAACACAATATTATAATACTCACTTTACATGTGAGGAACTGAAACAAAGAATTAAATAACTTGTCTAAATCCACTAATGAAATGCATTGCAGGGATTCCAATTTAGACTGCTTGCGTCCATGCTTTTTTCTCTTGTCTATACAGTGCTACTCCACAAGTACTTCACTTTGTCAATCTGACTTCTGGTACCACCCTCACAGCCCTGTAGATCATGATGTCTTTAGAGAAATTTTCCTTAAGTGACAAAACTACTACTTACCTTCCTTATCCTGGATCTTGGCCTTTACATTTTCTATCGTATCCGAGGGTTCAACCTATGAATTAAAAAATGCAAATACAATTAGCCGCCTCCCACATCTGCTACCCGTTAAATACACTTCCTCCCCGAGCCCAGGGCGCAACGGCTGTCCGCCACACGTGCTCGTTCCCCGTCCTCACCGCGATAAAGGACCCAGACTCTAGTTATCAAAAATCATGCCCGGGTGCTAACTCAAAAACCAACCCTTAACTGAGGACCAGGTTTCAGAAAGCAAACTCGGAAGCATGTGATAAGGCGGTACGCGGCGCCGGTCCTGCAGTCCACTTGAGGACCTTACTCGGGCCTTGGTTTCCTCATACCACCTGGTCCGTACCTCGAGAGTTATGGTCTTCCCCGTTAGGGTTTTTACGAAAATCTGCATCTCGGCGGCGATTCCACCTGAGTATGAGGGAAAGACGAGACGGGTTAGAACCGGGATATATAAAGGAGGACAGAGCGGGAAGGTCACTGGTCCCAGAGTGGCTGCATAGATACACTCACCACAGATGGCGGATCGGAAAGGAAGAGCTTCACGGCGGACCACGGGGTTCCGGCCGCCTTCTGTCGAAGGCCCCACCCCTTAGGCGACCATACCAAATGCCTGACCGCGGTCACAGCGGCAGTCTAAGCAAGTGCCAGACTTGGTCATGAACCTCATTTTTCTTCCCTCTAGTCTGGACTAATTTCTTACTTTAACGTTCTGCATTCTCTTGAAATAGTAGATTTAGACAACTTAAAAAATGTACTTAAAAGGCTTTGCCCATAAAGTTGATCCGGCTAAGAGGGGCTTTAAAAGGGGCGGAGTTGAGGGAGCCTCATCGAAGAAAAGCGAGGAAATGGAAATGTCTTCTGGGAATTGTAGTCTTCCACTGCTTTCTTCTGTCCAGGACTATTTTTCCCAAGATGCCGTTTTACAACCCGGGGATCCCTAGTTACTATCTCTAGGCACTGGAGTCTTTTTTGGAGAAAGGGAGTAAGGTGAGGAGTGGAGTACTGACGAAACTGGCTAGAAATGATTAGAAGGGAAGATTAAGAGGCAGGAGAGGTGTGTGGGGCGTGGTAGTGGCTTTTGCTCACTTAACAGAGGCGATCAACCTCAAGCACCCTGGACCTCCAAAAGAAAAGATTCCCTGTGGAAACTCCAAGCAAACTGAAAAATAGGCGAAATCTTTTTTTTTTTTTTTTAATTAGGTTTTGTCAGTTTCTTGACATTTAGCTTCGCTTCACTTTCAACCCCCAAGTCTCCTAGCTTAAGGAAGATTTTCACTCCTTAGTGTGAAACGATTTAATACGTTGAAAATCTCAGGAATTTTCGAATTTTAAAATGAAGTCTTACGGGAAAGAAACCTGCACAATGTTTTTTTTCTTACAAAATTTCCGAGTTTGAGCGTTGGGAGTGGTGCTGAAGGGCCTGAGATGAAAAGTTCTTAGAGCGTATTGGGTGCTTTCGGTGCCGGAATGGCTAATTGCAAGTGAGTTGCGCCCTTCCGCTCTCTTTTCTCCACTCTACGAACCACACCGAGTTTTGTCTAAGGTGCCTTTGTTAGTCTTCTCTTTCTCTCCTTTCTCTCCCTTCTTCATCTCCATTCTCTAGTTTATGGCGACTCATGGTGACTCCGTGTGTAAGAAAAGAATTGTACTCCATAGGGTTTTTCAATGACCTGTATAGAGATGGCAAGGCCTTTCTCCTTAATTCTCTCATGGAAGAGCTCAGTTTCTGTATCCTAACTTGCCTCCACTCTTTTGCCCTTTCCGACCCACCTTCTTTATTGCCTTAAGGATATTCATTATAAAAAGTAAAAATGAAAGTGTCATTTTTCTACTTCAAATTATTTACCACCTCCCCTTCACCTTAATGTTGAAATTAAGATTACTTAGTATGACATTTGGCTTCTGCATCCCTTACAAACTACTCTCCCAAACTCCATTACTCACTTCACACTTTAATAATATTGAGCTAATTCACGTTCCTGATTTATGTTCTCTCTTATTTTGGCACTTCTGAAGAATCCATTCCCTCATCCTGTAACACATCATTCCCCAGTCTGCCATCCAGTCTCTGTCTTAATAAAATTCCTGGAAAGAGTTATTTATACTCATTGTTTCCAGTTTTTCCCCTTCAGTTGACTTTCAAACCCACTCCTGTCAGGCTTTTGTCCCCACTCTTCCAGTGAGATAGTTCTTGTTATGGCCACTAATGACCTCCATTTGTTCAATGGTCATGTTATCTTATTTGATCTATCAGCAGCCTTTGATACAATTACTCACTTCCTCCTCCTTTGAAACACTTTCTTCACCTGACTTCCTGGATATTTCTCTCTCAATTATACCTCCCAGAATGTTCTTTTCCTGGCTCTTTTGCTGGTTCCTCTTGATCTCCAGACTTCTAAACTTTGGAGTGTCCCCAAGGCTCAGACTTTAGACCTATGCTCTGTTGACATTTCCCAGGTCATCTCTATTTCATAACTTTAAAAGTACTATTTATATGCAGATAACTCTTAATTTAATGTCTTTCATTCAGACCACTTACCTGAAAATTTGACCCTTACAGCCAGCTGTGTGTTCAACATATCTAGTAGGCAATCTTTAAATTCCTGATCTTCCCATGAGATTTGCTCTTTGTGTCTATAAATGGCAGTTCCTATCTTTGCAGTTGCTAAGGCCAAAAACAGGAGCTCTGGTAGCATAGTGGCTAAAGCACTTGACTGCTAACCAGAAGGCTGGTGGTTCAAACCCACCAGCCACTTCTCAGAAGGAAGGTTGGGCAATCCTACTTCCATAGTGATACTGTCTCTGAAACCCAAGGAGAGATCACTATGAGTCGAGGCTGACTCGATGGCACACAACAACAACAACAAGGCCAAAAACTTTATGGTCATCCTTGATTCCTCTCTCATACCCTACATCTAATCCCTTGGCAAATCTTGTTGGCTTTATTTTCAAAATATATGCAGAATACGTCTTACCCTCTTCACTGCTACTTACTCCCCTTATTCAAACCACCATCATCGTGCTGGGATTATTGCTGTAGCCTCCCATACTTCCAGTTTTGACTCTTGGCTCCTGTAGTCTATTCTCCATAGAGCACAGAGAGTGATTTTTTAAAAAGGTATGTCAGTGTGGTTTTTAAGCTTGTGTCATCTTGGCTGGGAGGTGTGTTTGAGTGCTCAATAGCTGGATGTAGTTATTTCCCATGATGAGACTGGAATAAACTCCATGGTGGATTCTGCTGTGAGGAGTATGGCCTCTTTCCAGTATATATGGGGAAGCTTTGAAAAAGTTCTCTAATTTTTTTGGCATGTTTGGATCCTGCACCTGGCATCCAGTGGCTTGCTGTGTTGCCTGCTGATTTGGGGAATGAACCTAGACTTAAACCAGTGGCTTATTTTGTGCCTGTTGATTTTGGGATTGTGCCATTCTACTTACTGACCTGGAGTTCATCAGTCTCAGCAGCCAGCAGCTGCATGAGTTATGAGAAGTCTCCAGCTTCAGTGGATCTGGAATAAGAGGCGGAGCTGTAGACGAAGGTCGATGGTCCTTCACCCGGCCCCTAGAGCTGACACTTTGAACTTGGACTTCTAGCCTTCTATGCTATAAGAGAAAAAAATCCCTATTTGTTAAAGCCACCCACTTGTGGTACTTCTGTTACAGCATCACTAGAAAATCAAGATAGTCAGCTAATGTCACTCCTCTGCCCACAACCCTCCAGTGGCTATTTCACTCAGAGCAAAGTCTCAGTTCCTGTAAGCCAGGCTGTCAGTCCAGCACTGGAGTGAGTGGGAGCCACAATCCAGCCTGTCACTTCTGTTGCCAAGCCTGCTCAGAGAAAGGGGCACCTTTTCCTACCTGTGCAGAGGTACTCCATGGGTGGTGGTGCTGGTGGTGCTGCCTTGAAGGACCTACATTCTAAATGATCTGGCAACTATCCCTGACCTCTTTCTTCTCTCACCTTCTCATTCTCATCTAGCCCCTGGTCTTTTTGCTGTTCCTCCAACATGCTCTGCCTTTGGACTTGCTGCACTCTTTGCCTAGACCACTCTTCTCTCAGGTCTCTATGATTTGCCTTTTTTCCGATTTCCGTGGAAAGGTCACCTTATCAGTGATGCCTTTCCTCTTTCCTGACTTAACATAAAATAGTCCTTTCTCACTTTGTTACTCTCTGTCTCCCATATGCTGCTTTATTTTTCTCCATATAGCTTACCCCCATCTTTCATATTATATTTTCACTTGTATGTTTTACAGTGTGATTGATGACACCATGATAGGACTTGTATGTTGTCTCTCTCAGTCTCTCTCTCCTCATCAAATGTAACCTCTGTGAGATGAGGGACTTTGTTTTGTTCAATACTGTATCTCCAGTGTCTAGAATAGTGTCAGACACACAGTAGATGCTCTAAAAATACTTACTGAATAAATATGTACAGCATAGCTTAAGCAGCAAGCATCAACCTCAATGTTGTTCTATTCCATGCTTTCCCTGTTGTTTCCCTTCCCTGCTTCCCACAGACTAGTGAGATGCTTACCTGGGTTTCTGTAGCCTATTGTACCTGCTTCTTGCACATTGCCTTTCACTGTCTAATATGAATGGTAATCTTGGTTGGCTTAGGTAACTTAGGGGCATTTTCTAGATATTAAGGAGGTTTAGCTGCATTCTAGTTTGGTGTCTTTTGATAAGACTAGATTATTGTTCAGTGATCACTGATCATTTCAGCAAATTTTTTTTTTGATAGAGTGTACCAGAAACTACCATGCCTGGGAAATATAATGAGAAGAAGATTTTGGTTCCTGCCCTTGTCAACCTTACAGCCTGATGGGAGAGACAGAGGATATAAACAGAAAGTCTGTAATACAGTGTGACTGATGACACCATGATAGGACAAGTACATGATATTATGGGAGAACATACAATGGCACTTGACTGAGTTTAAGGGTTTCCAGGGCAGCTTTCCTGGAGCAGTCAGTATAGCTCAAGATCAGAGGAATGAGGAAAGCCAAGTGAGGTTAAAGTGTGTGTTGTTACGGGGAGGGCTGGAAAGGGGAAAAGGAATGCAGATAGTTGTTATGTGCCATCCAGTGGGACTGACTCATAGCGACCCCTCCTTGGGTTTCCAAGGGGGTATCACTATCGAAGTAGAGATAGAGAGAATTATGCAAGGCTCTAAGGTAAGACAGCAAGTTCAAGAGAGTGGGGCTGGGCATATGGGGAGAAAAGGACATAAAAAGGCTAGAATTGGTTAGAAAAAGTCACTGAATCCTAAAGGACATTAGTAAGCCATGTGAAGGAACTTGGAGATTAGTAGGCTAAGTAAAGAAATTTTATCTGAAGGGATATAGGAAGCCACTGGTGTTCATATGTCACTATCAGTCTACAATGAACACACACATTCCTTCCTCCTTTGATTTATTAACAGTCTTTCTCTCTTGTTAGACTTAAGGCCCAGGGATCCTAAAACGTTATCCTTATTTATTGCTGAATCCCTAAAGTAGTGCATCACACTTAGTAGGCACTTAGTAAA